GGGCCCTGCCCTGCCTTTCTGCCTGTCACAGAGCAGGAAGAGCTCTGTGACATCTTCCAGATGTCCCTTGGCGAGAAACCCCGATGGCACAGATTTGTCCTGGGACACCACCGTGATGTTGTAATGAAGACTGTGGGGTCCTGGAGAAGAGGAAACCACAGATGAAACTTCTTCCTAGAAAAACTTCATGTCAGTGTTTGTCAGACAGGTTCTGCTGCCCTGACCTTCCTGAGGACGCAGAAAATGCACCCGGGCAAAGGGACAAGGACGAGGATTTCAGTGCAAGGAAAACTGGAAAGGTGAAAGGATGAGGAGGGGACTGAGGAAGGGAAGAGGGAGAATGGGGACAGCAAACCTGTAGGCCAGCTGCCAGGGTGGGGCGGCCACAGGCTGCCTGAGGACATGGCAGGAGGTCAGGGAGAGGCTGCCCTGCAGGGGGCAGGGAGGAGCAGGAGGCCAGTGGTGGGAGGAAGGTCTTGCCAGAGGGCAGGAGGGGATGTGCAGGGACCCGGCTCAGAGGGACCCATAGCCTGAGAGGCTGTGGTGCACAGGCAGGCTGGGGGGAGACGGAGAGCAAGGGCTGCCGCCTCTGGGGAAGGCTCATCTCTGATGGGGGGAAGGGAGGGTGCGGTCCTGAGGCTGGAGGGGCAGGAAGGTTGTGGCCCCCAAGAAGCTTAGAGTGGGGTCAGCATCCCAGCGGGAAGCAACGGTGTGGGCTTGGATCCAAAGTGGAGGAGTGGTGCGGCAAGGCCCCAGGTGGGCAGGTGGGTGGACCTGCTAGTGTCCTGTGCAGTGGGCAGGTGGCAGGGTCTCAGAGAGTCAGTGCGTCCTTTCAGCAAACGCTGCTGGGAAAACTGGATGTTCACATGCAAAAAAAATGAAGTTGGACCCTTAGCACATATACAAAAAATAACTAAAAATGAATCAAAGACCTAAACTCAAGAACTAAAACTAAAATATTCTTAGAAGAAAGCACTGGGGACAATCTTCATGCCACAGGATTTGGCAACACTTTCATGGGTATGACACCAAAGCACAGACAACAAAGAAATAAATGATAAATTGGACTCATAAAAATTAAAAACATCTGTGCGTCAAAGGACACAACCAAGGGAAAGAAAAAGCAACTTCCCCACATAGAAGAAAATATTTGAAATCATATATCTGATACACGGTTAATATCCAGCATATATAAAGAACTCCTACAACTCAGAAACAACAAAACATTTTACCCCTTTGAAAATGGGCAAAGCACTCGAATAGCTCATTCCGCAAAGAAGATACACAAATGGGCAATAAACACATGAAAGGGTGCTCAGCATCAGTAGTCA